TGCCACAAGGATCGGGTGTAGGCCCAAGTCTCTTCTAGTTATATATTAATGATCCACCCCGCATTGATAAAGCTGCAAAAAATAACCTAATTCACAGATGACACTACATTATAGAAAGTTATTGACCTTCTACTTCTCTGTTTTGATACAAAAATGTGGGAATCTCCTAAAGAATCAATCAATTTTGGAAATTTACTCTATACTCTTTGCGTAGATTATCGTGCAAAGAAAGAACTTTCAGACTCCTGTTGATCTTCGTTTCTGAAAGCCATATTGATGATTGTTCGAGCAGTTCAAGTTTCTCGAATATTCATGGATCACTGAAAGCAAATCGACCAGTTTATAGTTATTCAAAAGATTTTTCTTACCATATTTGGGAATAAGCTGAATGCGAGCAATCTTCCAACGAGAAAGCTAGTGCGAGTTCATTGGCGCCCTTTTAGAGTACGACCAGTCGGGAACAGAAGTCGGGATCAGATGCTTTGTTGATATTAGGCTGTTTCAAAATTCACCTGACTGGACGGTGTCAAGAGTAATTTTTGGCATTGTGGATTTTAGTGTGGGAATGGTGGGTGGTGCCATTTCCAAAAAATCAATTGTGGAGTGGGACGCGACTCAATCAGCTAATAGATTTGCATTTTCTATGGTATATTTATCTATGACTCTGTCTTCAGTGCTGCTATCTCTTCTGAAGAGTGTTGTGTTCCATTTTCATGTAAAACAAAAAAATAATGGCAGCAACTACAACTATCTTCACCTCTAACAGTGGGTAATCAATTTCCGAAAATACACCTATTCGTTGAACTTTGATAATGGAATAAGTAATTTCAATATTGACCTTGGAAAATATTTCATTACATTACAGCACAAAATTTAATTCACAGATGACACTACATTATAGAAAGTTATTGACCTTCTACTTCTCTGTTTTGATACAAAAATGTGGAAATCTCCTAAAGAAATGAAGAAAGCAATCAATTTTGAAAATTTACTCTATACTCTTTGCGTAGATTATCGTGCAAAGAAAGAACTTTCAGACTCCTATTGATCTTTGTTTCTGAAAGCCATATTGATGATTGTTCGAGCAGTTCAAGTTTCTCGAATATTCATGGATATGGTGGTTCACTGTTTTCTTCATGATTTTTGATATCACTGAAAGCAAATTGACTAGTTTATAGTCATTTGGAAGATTTTTCTTACCATTTTTGGGAATAAGCTGAATGCGAGCAATCTTCCAACAAGAATGGAAGCTAGTGCGAGTTCATTGGCGCTCTTTTAAAGTACGATGATGAACACTTTATCGGGACCCTACGCATTGTTGATATTAGGCTGTTTCAAAATTCACCTGACTGGACGTTGTCAAGAGTAATTTTTGGCATTGTGGACTTTAGTGTAGGAATAGTGGGTGGTGCCATTTCCAGAAAATCAACTGTGGAATGAGACGCGACTTATTCAGCTAGTAGATTTGCTTTTTCTATGGTATATTCATCTATGACTCTGTATCTAGTGCTGCTATCTCTTCTGAAGAGTGTTGTGTTCCATTTTCATGTAAAACAAAAAAATAATGGCAGCAACTACAACTATCTTCACCTGTAACAGTGGGTAATCAATTTCCTAAAATATACCCATTCGTTGAACTCTGATAACGGAATAAGTAATTTGGAAAATATTTCATTACATTACAGCACAAAATTTTATCTTTTCGAACAACCGTAATCTGTTTGAACTTTAGCATAGACATAATGATTTATGAATGAGACATTTCTTGTTTATTCAAATCAATGACCAAAAGTTATCAATTGGAATTTATATCTATATGTCTGATTCGATTTTTTTTGACACTATGTACCAAATTGTATTTTCATTCGTTTTTCAATTTCACCTGCGATAATATATCATGTTAACAATCTACAGGTATCAACTACTCATATGCTTCATTTCATCAACACTTATCTTGCGTGTCATGATATGTAGTCACATTGTAGATAGACACATCTTTTCTGAAATTTCGAATCCAACCCATATCTAATTTGTCTCACTTTCGACCTATTACTATTTCATCATCGTTATCTCGACCACGTTATACTTTGTTTGAAACTTCGCTTCCTTGCAATTAACTTCGTAATGAGTTACTTGAGTGATTGCCATCGGAGAATATATAGATGGAGCAGTTTCGGAACTATTACTTGTGTCGAAGGGAGTATCACAAGGATTAATTATTAGGCCCTCACTGCTCAGTGTATATATTGTGCCTTCTGCAAACCTATGAGAAAATCTAATATCACTCACTGTACAGATACTACTCCAGTTTCAGTAATTATCGTCTTTTTTTCCCAGTTTTCATTTTGGGAATTCTTCTACATGTCTTCTGATGGTGAATGGAGTCGATTCATCATTATTTTTAACATTTTTTTTTAATAACTTGATAAAAAAATAATTAATTTGAGTGGAACTTAGTAGGACATGTGAATACTTACACGTGGAATACATCACCAAAATCTATCCCATCATTATTCCAATATGCATCTCATTTTATTCCGTAGTTATACCAATAACATTATTTCTCACTCTCCTCTATATCATACAAGATCTAAAAATAATAAATTCCAGTGACACATTTGCTTTTTCAGCTGCAGGAAAACCCGGAAAAACCTGCAGCACCACATTATATGAAGATCTTGATCCGCCAAAGTCCTCTCTCTCATAAAATAAAATGTAGGGTGTCTCCGGAGGCTCCAATGAATTCAATATATCGCTAGAATACTTAGTGACACGACTATTGTCAAACTTAAATCAGTACGTTTCTTCTTTGACCAAGGCGTAATAATGACCAGGTTCAACGCCAGAACCACAGTGAACAATGACTGCATGAAGATTATAATAGTGGTCTGCTAGATTGAAGAGTTTAGTGCTTCCGTCAGAGGTTGAGTCATGTTCAAAGATCATTAGTGTTATTATTAGATCGACTGGTGCCTCAGCTATACTTATTATTGTTTTTCAATAGTCAGTCAGTTTGGCGCATGTTTAGCAATACAATCGATCGTCACCTGTTGAATGTTCCATTTTCAGATGATTTATCAATAAGCTTCACATGGACTGGGTATTAGTCATAATAGGAAACGCTAGTTGAAGTTCCAGAAATTCACATAGGTTTTTGCTACCTCTTGAATATTTACTACAAAGTAGGTAAGTGGGGATTTTTCTAGCAGGAGATTTACAAACACAAGACGAGATACTGTACGGAATCGTTCAATCCAGAGCGGTCAGGAGTATTGATTCTGCTTTTGTTTTGCTCACGGAGAGTATTCAATAAGGACGCCAAGAATTCGGAACAATCCTCTTATTGTCCTAACGAGTATCTAGTGGACAAATACTCCGGGAAATCGGTTGGAGGGCAAGATGATACATTCTTACAAAACTGCAGCTGCATGAACAGGTGTTTGAGTTTGGTGAATAAATAGAAAATATTCTCGTTCTCTTCCATCATTGAAACATCTTGTGATATAGAAGAGAGGGAGAATTATTGTTATTGGTGAATTCACGGAATAAAATGGGATGACGTGTCTCCCTTCTCGAGAACTAATCTAAGGCAAACGCGCACCTCACTCCTTCAGGGATTTCAAATCATTTCATATATTAGACAATGGAAGTCCGAACTAGTGAAATTCATCATGAAACATTGTCAATCACCTTCAAACAAACATTCACATTGAATGTCTGCAGCTGTTTGTAGTAATCGGAATTTTATTGATTGGTACCAATGGAATCGTTAGTTTTTTTATCACTTGGTAGAACTAGTGTAGTACGCTACACTTTCATTTCAGCTACGTTAATAAATAAATTACCAAAATTGTTATTGTCAGAATTCTTTTCCGCCCCGTATCTTCGAAACAAATCGCTCTATCAAAAATCATCAGAAGACAAAATATCCTCAGAATAGTCCAAGGAATAGTCGCTCAAAGTTTTGCCGCATGTTCAATAAACACCCTGTAAACGAAACGAAGCGAACAATTTGAAAAAATTAACTCTATGCAGATATACTTTTCTGCATGGAATTGATTGCTCCCTTCCTTCTTAAGATTCCAGATTTTTGTATGAAAATGGAGAAGTAGAAAGCCAAAACTTTTTTTCTCCCAAAATTAATACCTCCTGAAAATATACATCCTTCAATTTAAAAAAGATTTCTATGGGTGAGATTCAATCAATGAGCGAATTGATGTCATAACGTACTGTCTTTGATGACAAAAGTAGATCAAACTCTTTCGTAATATTAGATCGTAATTTTATGAATTAATTGAGTGGCTCGTCTTATGATTATATCCAAATTTGATGCTGGAGAGACAATAAGACATGTTTCTCATACGGAAACATCGGAGGATGTCAGTGCTCTTCCATTCACTATATATTGTGTAGCAATCCTGTGAATGATATCTGATTCAATTCCATAACGAATGCTTGGAATACAAACTGATGAAAGAAAAGTGTTTTTGTATAATTCAGTGTTGATATGAAAGTATTCGTTTCGAAAGTTTTTTTTGGTGTAATTCAATGTTTATATATTTTGAAAGGTCTTTCCTTTCAGTTTGTATCTGAAAATCACTTGTTCGCATGATCTACACATCTTTGTATAGAGTTAACGTGTCAGACATTTTCTGACGAAAATAGTTCACTATATAATTTTACCGTTCACCGAAATTTGGGAAAAAATAAAACAGAAATGTATGAAACTATCAATATGAACCACTACTCTTGTCAGTTTTCACAAACNCCGCGTTTTAACCATCAATTAGGAGTCATTATATGCAATATATTAATTTTTTCGTACTTTCAATTTTCTTTGATCATTTTCAGATGATTTTGTGAACTGTTTTCTTTTATTTCTATTACTCGTATCTATAGATTATTTTATAATTATGAGTAACATCTGTCTTCTTATTATGGATCAAGTTATTATTTGTTCAGTTCAAAGTTTTGTATTTAAACTCCTCACAATTTTTCAGGTGAAATGGTTGATTTGGACAACTGGCTAAAAACAAATAGAGAGTTAGTGCTGGAAAATTCTTTGAAGTCTTTGGGGAGAACAGAAAAACAGCTTCATGAGCATATCAAAATTCTTGAAGCATGGTTGGAAACTCAACCTCATCTACCGGAAACTCCGAGTGAGTATAATTTTTTCTGTTTATTGTACTATAGAATTGAATGATGAGAATTTTATATCAATTGACACGTTATTTTTAACATGTGTTCGTCTTGGGTTTTCACGGTTTCACAGTTTTTCACAACACATAAAGTTCGCGACATATTGATGTTTTTTTATTATTAGAAATAATTAAAATGCGACTTCACAGTTAGTTTGTGTTTGAAAAATTTGTAGAAAACAGCCCTCTCGTCATGTGCAACTCTGAACTTCACACTTTTCTGTAAACTCAACATCAAGCTACAGTTTTATGACTATTGAAATGACTCGTTTTAGCAATTTGTAGTAAACATGAACAAGTGTTAGATGATTAACCAAATAGTGGAAGTGAAACAGTGACTCAGTCAGATGTTTAAAGGCAAAGTCATAGGACAAGCTTCAGAAGATTATTGGTCACCAAGATCACCGGACATATCTCTCATGGGCTTTTTTCTATGGTGTTATCTGAAACGAATAATGTATAAGTACAGAACATTTGCAAACATAGAACATTCAGAGAGTACCATTTGGGAGTGTCGTGCTAACATAAATCCCCTATTTATTAAAAATGCCACAAAATCTGTGAATGAAAAGACTATAATTTGTATAGAACGGGATGGACAGCCAACTGAATGTTGAATACAGGTTTCTTATAAGATTATTGAGATTAATTGACACTGTTGTAACTGCATCAAAATATTTCGAACTCATCTGCAGCTAATGGAATACAAATCTGCTTGAAAACGGAATACTAATGTAATAAGAACGAAGAGATATATATTTATTTGATTACTGACAAATTAACGTCCATACATTGAGAATCCAAATCAGTTTGACAGTGAAATGAAAAACTAGATGAACTTTGCTACAACAAAGACGAATTTCTGGTGGTGTATTTATTTTTTTTTTTCTGAGAACAGGCCAATGCGAATATTTTCTGGGCGAAATATGACGTTGAATTCTCGTATTCATCAAAATAATAGAATTTGAATCATGTTCCATTCGAATCGATAGAGAGATAGATTTGAAAATTAAAGAATTGGAAAAACATTTAAGTGACAGTAGAGAGTCCAAATTTCGAGCAACGGTATAAAATTGGAAACTAATCATCTTTTTTTTGGCATTCTCCAAAACTTTCAAAAAAGAAAAATTTTCAAATTTGACAGGTTCACAGTAACACATGATGAAAGGAAAGAGGCTGTTTTTTACTATATTTCAAATCAATCTGGTGAAAGAATCGAGCAACTGAGGGAAAAACTAAACAGGACAATTCATATAGGTGGAGAAAAGTAGACTGGAATGGGAGATAAAGACTTTGAAAACGGGGCAGGGTTCAAGCGTTTTCTAGATAACAGGAACACACACTACATGCCGTCTGATATGTCTGACAGGATAGGGGTGCTGGTGGAAAACAATCACCGGGCTACCACCAGATTTTCTGGAAGTAAAGTCCAGTTTATCAAGAAGGAGCTAACTGCAGTGAGTGGCAGGTTGCAACAAATGGGTGGACGCATAGGTAAAATAATAACTGAACTGGAAACAAGAGAGATAATGGTAATGGACAGCACTAACAGTAACGTTGGAAGGTATGGTAGGCTGGATGAATTAAATGGGGAATAATGGAGAGCAATGAAGAGGATACTTGAAGAGGTTAATGGGCAGCTTTAAAAAGTTAGGCCAAATGATATGCAAGGAAAGCGTAAGCAGGCGAAACCCATTATGATGTAACCTATGCCATCTGGTGTCTCGGGACTCACCGACGGGACTGTACGGCACACCACTGGAGGAGAGGCCGATATGGACACAGATGTGGGTTTTCAGGTGGTAGAGAACGAGAAAGAAAGAAAGAAGAGGAAAAACAGGAGTGTGCGTACTTCATACGACAGAACTTGGGATGGAGAGGGAGAGCAAATCTAGGTCAGGGTAGAAGACTCCTCCCCCGTTGGAGGAGGAGATCATTGTAGTCAAAGCCGTGGGAATTGTAAGCGAGCGACCACGAAACGGGGGGTGTATGTGTTATGTGAAGGCTATTAACCGCAATCGATCCGGTGTTGTGGTAGTGAAAGGAAAGAATGAAGATGCACAACAGAAGATACGGTACGTGCTCCAAGATGAAAGTTGGGTGAACGTAAAAAAAGTCACGAGCCTAATCCCCACGTCCTTCTTACTGGAGTTGAGCAGAATTCAGCGCTGAGTGAGGGTCTCACGCAGTTGGGAATGGAACGCATGACTGTGCGTAAAAGGAAGGAACGCATTGTGAATACCTGGAAAGAGAAAAAGTTCTAGAGGTGAGTGCGACGCTCTTCCCGAGATTGATGAGGCTGGAAATGGTGAGTCTGGACCATCGAATGATTGAGTTTTGCTCAACGGGGCTACCAAAGGTGAGAAAAGTTATGGTGACGAATATTAGAGGAGCCAACTGGGCGGGTATGGAGCGAGATTTGCAGAACTACAGTTCAGGGAGGCTTGGAATGATAGAAGAGATTGAGCGAGGAGCGGCTATGCTGCAAGGAACAATGAGGGAAGCGTGCACGAGGCATGTGCCTAGGAGAAAAAGGACGATCGGAGGAGCGTGGAGTGGAAAGCTCGCATAGGTATATGACGATGATGAGAAGAGAAGCGCAAGGAATCAGGGACGAGGATGCAAGGAATAGAAGTATAGTTAAGTACAAGAGAGAAAAGAATAGGTATGAAAGAATGATAGGGAACGCTAGGATGGTGTGGTTTAGGAAGAGGGTGGAGCGGATTCAGGATGAAAATCTGTGGGACCGTGTCTACCGTCTCCTCAACGGTGTTCGCCAGAGAAATCCCTTTTAATGTCGAGAGAGATGATGTATTTTCTACCGAGGGGAAGAAAGAAACCAGAAGGTATTTGCTGGGAAAGAACAGTTACCTGTGAAACAGTCTTTGAAACAATATACAGAGGCTGTCTATAAAGTTCTAGTCTAGGACCGATCATATGGAAGAATGGTTCGAACGAATGTGAAGCATGAAAAGACAAGGCATTGAGAGTATCGAGAAGAGATGGAATCTGGTCCGGAATGATTGCAAAGCATAAGTTCGATGTTTTTCAAAAGCGTGTTTTTCAGTGTTTTGAACTATATCAATTTTTCGTTAGTACTTTTTTTAGTTTCGTATGCTATAAAAGCGTGTTTTTTAGTTTTGCAAACTATATTCCGTACATTGTTCAGAAAAAGAAAAAACCCAAGACAGCAGGCGCGCAAAGTAGGGTTACAAATAAGGCAGCAGGCGCGTGTGTTAATAAAAAAATACTTTTTTCACATGAAGAAATGCATGTAAAGTGAGTTCGAATTATATCAAGGAGGTTACGTACAGCGCCATCTGCCCGCGAATAGATCAATCAATAATTTCGATATATCAAAGAGGTTACGTACAGCGCCATCTGCCCGCGAAAAGATCAAGTAATAATGTCGATAATTCTGTCAAATACAGATCCCTATATGAAATGAAAAGGAGAGTTACAAACAAACAAGCAAACATACATACAGATGGAGCTGATATGAAGCGTGTAATAGTGTAAAAATGAACATCATATGTTAATAATTTGATATTGTGACACCCGAATACGCTTTTGTATAGCAAAACACGTGTCACGGTTCTGTAATCTTTCCAGAGTTAATCACACTTTAAAGTGTGTGTTTTGAATACACACAATGTTCGAAAAATAATATTCATAAATCAATCATTTTTGTACTCATCCCATCAACGAAATCGAAAAAATATCAAAATCCTATATATTTATGAATTTAGTATAAACCGTATATTACTGTGAAAAATTTCATAAAAAATAAATTTAGTTAAAACTAAAAAACACGCTTTTAAAAAACATCGAACTCAAAAGGTAATTTTTTTCAAATAAGCTTAAAACAATAACGAACGAAAAATACTATCCGAATTTTATTCCATAACGAATGTTTGGAATACAAACTGAGTAGAGAAAAGTATCTTCTGTATAATTCAGTGTTCATGTAAAAGTATTTGTTGCGAAAGATTTTTTTCTTTCGTATAATTCAATGTTTATATGAAAGTAGCACTTTCAGGAGGGCTTTCTTCCAGTTTGTGTCTGAATGTTGCTTCTTTGCATGATCTACTCATCCATGTATATAGTTACTTTTTTTTCAAATTGATCACTTTCTTTCTTTCTTTGGAAGATTTCTACATTTTTTTAATCAAGATGGAGTAGTAGAAAGCCAAAAACTTTCTTTCTCAAAAAGTATTCACTCCTAAAAATATACCCAATGATCACTCACCCCACGGTGTAGGTCATCGTTCATGATAATAAATATACTTTATTGTCCAAAGAGAAACTCTGATTTACAAAGCTTTGGTAAGCATTCTTTTTTTGAGAAAAAAAAAAACATAGTCAAGTACATGAAATCTGAGTATAAGCTAGTAGATCAATGAAAATATTCAGAGTCCTACCATGAAAATAAAAAATCAAAATTTTAAATGTCACATTTTCTGAAAATCATTTGAGCCTATGACTTCGGTTTGGTACTCAGAAACACTAACACTGTACCAAGTCACCGTCAAAATAATTACTATTAAGTACGTGAATTGAAAGTGGAATATTTTCAGGAGATATTAATTTTTGGGAAAGGAAGGTTTTGGATTTCAATCAAAAAGTTAGTCTTCCCTAAAAATATTTTGGATTTAAACAAGATTCCAATGGCTGGGAATGAATCAAATAAGCGAATGAATGTCATTACGTACTGTCTTCGATGACACGAGTAGATTAACTCATTCGTGACAAGAAGTCGTGATTATATGAATGAATAGGGTGCTCCATCTTATAATTTTGTTCAGATTCGTGCTGAAGTGGCAATACAGTGTCTTTTTCCGAAATACCGGATTTCCACCAGTGAGGATGACAATGTTTCATATAAGTAAAAGTTTACCTGATCCACTGTCTATATTGTGTAGCAATCCTGTGAATGATATCTGATATAATTTCAAAAGTGTGTTTGGAATACAAACTGAATAGAGGAAAGTAGTTTTTGTATAATGCAGTGTTCATATAAAAATGGTTTTTTTGGAAAGTATTTTTTTCTTGTGTATTACGTAATGTTCATATGAAAGTAGTTGTTCAGAGAGGGCTTTTATCATGAATTTCATCAGTTTGGACCTTCATTGTCGGATATTGTATAAGGTGATTTGAAATCTTTGAAATAACTGATAAAAAAAAAGAAGAATTAAAAACGAACAGCTGAAAATAACAATTATATTAAGTACTTGTGATGCACTGTTTGGAACCTTTGGTGTAGTAATGAATATTACTGGAGTTTTTTCCCAACACCAAATCGTTATTTTCAACACCTCGACACGTGTTTCGATCACCAAGTGATCATCTTCAAAGAGGAAGATTAAAACTGAGTTTCAATCAAATAAAAAATTAAGAGATTCCAAGCCAAGTTACTTTACAACGTTTCGATTGTTAGTATCCACAATCGTCTTCGGGTGTTGACTGAACGAATTCCTCCCTTCCCTTCAGGGGTCATTTCGGTACTTCCGCTTATTTCCGCCTTACTTTTTCCGCTTCACCGGTTCAGTGGGAGATGACCTTCTAACGGGAGTTGGCCATTTTTCGCTTGATTAAACGTTTCCATATGTTGCGTATCTGTACGCTAGCGTCGTCGAATACATTGTTGGACAGCATGTATACGGCTTATTTGAATTTTCTTCTATACCAATGTTCCTTCCAGTGTATGATCTGAGCGTGGGACCACTCGATGTTATGTTGGTGGGACCAAACATGCTCTGCTATTCCTGATTTACTGGTTTTCCTTGCTGTGTGTTCCTTGTGTTCGGCAATGCGAACATTCAATGGCCTCTTAGTTCCACCGATATAGGATTTTATGCACTCACAGGGTATCCGGTAAATCCGTTAATTGCATTTCCTGGATGCGAAAAATGCTATATCGCTGAAACTAAGAGGCCATTGAATGTTCGAATTGCCACACAGCTAGGGGAAACCAGCAAATCAGGAATAGCAGAGCATGTTTGGTCCCATTATTATAACATCGAGTGGTCCCAAGCTGAGGGAGGAACATTGATTTAGGGGGAAATTCCAAGTAGCCACATACATGTTGTCCAACAATGTATTTAGCCAAGCTAGCGTAGAGATCCGTAACATACGGAAACCCATAATCAACTACCGCCATCTCTCGCCAACTCAGTCATCTCTCAATAAACCGGTGAAGCGGAGAAAGGAAAGCAGAGGTGAGTGAAAGTACTCGAATGACCCATAAATAGTCATCTTTCTGAGGAGTCCAGTCATCACCAGAAGATGATTGTGGATCCTAACAATATACTTGTTATTTTCAGCTATTCTTTTTTATTCTTTTCAGAAGTCCGAACTGATGAAATTCATCTTGAAACATTGTCAATCCCCTTCAAACAAATGCTTTTTTTCAGTTCGTGTCTGAAGTTCACTTCTTTGCATAATCTACCTACCTTTGTGAAGAGTTGAATTTCAGAAATGTATGGCAAAATAACTATTACATATTTCAGATATTTTTTGCCATGGCCAAAACGGACAGCAGATGGGGACAGAATTACTTTCGTGAAAGCAATAAATACACATAACTATGATTTTTATTCTACGATTGGCTATTGTTTCAACGTTTTTGATTTGAGGATGGCCGAAGATATTTGTAATTCCGAAATTGTAGTCACCGATTTGCAGACAGCGAATTTAGCACAATTGACTATAATGACTCCAGTTCATATGAAGAAATTTGTTATGATTCTGGAGGTACGTATGACGACATCTTTCATCAATATCCTAATTATTTCCTTATCATACTAACTTGGTTAGCGAAACGCGCCGCAAGAGACAGTAGTTTCGTTTTGGTGTTGAAAAAGTGTTGCCAATAAAATATTTCATCGAGATAATCTAATCTGCTTTACATTGAAATTCATTAATATGAACATATCCAATCAATGCTATGTGAAATATGCCAATAACTAAAATTCATTACTGATCGAATCAAATCAAATCAGTTTATTTTCAGAGACTTTACACCATTGAAAAAGTCAATAATGGCACTGTACAATGTTAACGATTACTGTTGTTGAGATTATGTACGAATGAAAGAAAGAGAATAGGTCCTAGGACTCTACCCTGGGGAACGCCGGTGGGAACGAGACAGGTTCTAGAGTGAAATGTCTCAGCCTCCAGTTCAACCCTCACAGTTTGCGTCCTGATATACAGATAAGATCTCACCAATCCAGAGATGAGCCACGAATTTCTAGACAAAACAGCTTGCTCAAAAGTAAATCGTGATCAAAAGTGTCGAAAGCTCGTGACAAGTTGAATATAACACCTATCGTTTTCTCACCTCTATCAAGTTTATAAATGACTTCATTGACTAAATTCATCGTCGCATCCTGAGTGGACTTCTTGCAATAAGAAAAGAGTCTTCTTTGATAAGTTTTCTCGAATATTTTGGAAAATGCAGATAGTAACGCAACTCCTCTATAATTGGAAACCGAGTGCTTGTCATTTTTCTTATGAATAGGCACTATTATTGCATGTTTGAGTCGAGTAGGGAACATACCTTATACTAAGGAGATATTAATGAGGTATAAGAGGGGTTCGATCAAATTTTCAACCACCTTGAACAAGAGGTTGCAAGGTGAGTTGGAGTTGATGTCACAGTTATTAACTGAAATAGAAGATGTTTCTTTAACTAGTTTTTGGACAGAATTCGAGAAGTAATCGCTGAATGTTTGGGAGATATCAACACTCTCGTTTACAGGTAATTCATTTTCATCAATAACATATTTTGGCAATATTTGTCTTTTTTATCACACGCGGTATTCTGTTTGATTATAGTCCAGGCAATCTTAGATTCATTTGAGGCTTCAAGACATTTGTGGCCGAAGTAAAACTATTTTGATGTTTCTTTCTTTTGTCGATGCTGTTTCAAAAGTAATTCATATTGTTGGTTAATGATTTCATCAGATCGGATTTAACTAAATATCTCTGAGTAATTTTCCTTCATTAACGATCTTTTTAGTTATCCAAGGTTTATTGTTATTAGATTTTTATGTGTATTGGTTTGATGTAATTCCTGAGGCTTCATCGAATAGGTGAGAAAAAGTCATAAAAAATAGAGAATTTTTCATCAGCATTACCGTTGCTGTAATTATAGATAGCCAATTCTCGCAAGCCAATAAAGCACTCAATAAGTGATTGTTTTGATCACAGAAGGATCTTTCAAGAGAATAATTGGTTTTCTTTACAGTAGGAGCGGTGATTGGAGTGCATGATCCGAGAAATCTATGTGACTGACGGTAGAATTAGAGATATTAGATGTAGAGGAAAAAATATTGTCCACCATAGGCATGTTAGGATAGTTCCATTTTATGTATGAATGATAGACTATTGGAAGATGGTGGTCTGTTAAAACAGTTAACGCGGATTTTGGAGTTGTGAGCGGTTATTTCGACAGCAGCATATCCAAACGTATGAGATTTTTTGACGGTAGTGTGTAAGACTATACAGTCTTAACAAAGATAGCTACCCCTCCACCAACTTTATCGTTACGGCAAAAATAATCGGAAAGAGTATAACAATTGACATTGACAGCTAATATTTCATTTTCTTGACACCAAGTTTCTGTTAAACAAACTACATCCGGATATTCAAGAGACTGTAATAAAGAATCAAGTTCACTTATTTTGTTTCTTGAACTATGAATGTTCAGATGGAAGTTTACAAAAAACGGTGGTTTTTGAATTGGTTCATGAGAAATTAGAGAGTTTTCACGGAAAAAACAAAAATTCTTTTACCACGACGTTTTCTGGCCACCTATCACTCTTCAACAGTAACTGCTTACAATATTTGGAAATAACCAATTTGAACGCACTGTTTTTCCCTTTGGTGTTCAACTTGTAACACTTTATATTTTGATCCGGAAATAATTTCTTCAGAAAAGACTGCATCACTTCATTATCAACGTGTCCTTTGACTTTTCCAACATGAAGCCATTCCAACTCAGCTTCATGGAACGCCTTGTATTATCATTTTAGGTTTCTATTGGATCCAGTAATTAGAATTTTGGGATTATTAGGTACCTGGTTCATTAGCAGATGACTGGGGAACTCGGTCATTGGCCTTGACTTTTTTCGCAGAGTTTTTTTGGATGTCGGACTTTGGATATGGCTCGAGTTGAAATGAAGCACTTTGTTTTTGTGCTGAGTTGATGCTTGGTTTGCGCATTTTCTTGTCCGATTCAATAGGAGCGTTGATGGTCTGATTGTCGGCAAACTGATTAAAATCGACAATTTGCTTTTTCAATAGAAAAATAATTTCTTCTTGGTCATGTAGTCTTTCAGCGATCGACTTGTTGAAGTTTACTCGTGGTAAAGATGCATTCCGATTTCGAACAACGCACGGATGATTCATTATCAAAGTATGAGTTTTCACTTGAGATAATACCACTCGATAGGTTAACAAGGAGATTCTGTAAAATAATATTCTCAGAAAAACTTTCTCTTGAAACTCTAGTCACTATGAGATTGATTATTTCGCTTTTCTTTAATTTATTGAGTTCAGCTGCTAGCACACCCTGCTCGCTTGGCGACATGTACACGTATGATCAGGATCATTTCATTTTATTAAATAATTATTGAATATGAATTGATGGAATTCGAATTGCTCATACTTGAAGTTGTGATGCGGTATGTTAGGTAATACAGGCACTTCATTTCACTGAAGGTAATTCAACTGGCGTAATATTGTATAGAATAATTCAAAAAGAGTTGGGTGACCTTTCTAAATGGAAGCTGTTTTTCATAGATGGATGTGAGACTGAGAGAATTAATATTTCACCATCTTTGAAATTATACTGGCTTGTCACACTGAGGCATGAATATTGGCCGGAAAAATGCAAAAAGCTTTCATTTTTCACCAACTGCGTCTGCTCAGGATTATGAGTTTCAGACAAAATGATCAATGGTTATACTACTGTGTGGGGATTAGTCATTGGTTGATGATGCTAACATGCCCCCTCGAATGTATAGAGGTACAATGGATGAGGCTCGGCCAGGTGAACCTTTGATAAAGAATAATAATAATAATAACACATAAATACTGCAGGAACCAATTCACTCTATTGCCAATAAAAGGATCAATCAACGCATGAAATCTTCTCCAACGCCATTGAAAGACATCAAATAACCTGTCCTTCGCTTTTCTCAGGTTGAATGAGCTGAGGTAGAAAACTGAGGGTTTCATCTTGGACGGCCAGAAAGTTGTCTACCGCAGTCGCGTGAGGGTTGAGAGGTTCCTGACAGGGATACAGGGCCTGCCGAGAAATACTTTGTACCCCAGGACAGTCACTGTCAGCATGTCAACCATATTCCATTTCACCCTATATCTATTGATATATTCTGGCCCTGAGGCCCAGGCACCTACGGCACTTTTACGGTATTGACGAAACACCGGTGTTTCTCTACGTTCTGGGGCATATGGTATCCATTGTGAGGAATGAAATGTGCCAAACTCATAGAATCATTTGTTTGGAAGTGGTTGATAATGTTTTATTTTGCATTCAATAAGGAACTACTATTTCCAACTGAAGGACGAATTCTTCACGCAAGATGAGGGACTGCCAAAGGGATCATCACTTTCACCAGTTATAACCAACATAAATATGAAGAGAAGCTCACAAGAAATCCCGAGTCTTGTTGAGATACGTTGACGACATCTTCATAATATGGAACCATGGAAATACTGAACTAGATACACATCAACAGCGTAAGACCTTCCATCACCTTCACAATGGAGAAGAAAATCTACAACGAATTGCCATGTTCAGGTGTATTGGTGGAGAGGACTTAGTGAGGAACATCTTCATAACAAAAACCCATTTACCCGGGATAGTATCTGAATCACAAATCCAACCACCATCAATCTACCAAAAGAAGGATTATCAAGACTCCAGTGAATCGTGCTATCGGGCTCTGTAATACGAAGGAAGGTGTCGAGAAAAAAACTAGGCATCAACAAAGTGATCTTCAACAAAATGGTTACTCCAAAGCGATGATGGAACAGACTTTGGCTAGAAGACATAAAGAGCCTCACAAGAAAGAGATGTCGTCACAACCAGTGCTTGTTCTCACCTACGTCAGCGAATTGTTGAAAAGAGAAAGAAGAATTGAGTCCAAGTACAACATCAAAACCTGTTTCAGATCCGGAAACACTATCCGTAGCAGCCACACGAAAACCTGGCATGAAACGTGGAATGCGATTCTGAGAATTTCATATACCGGATACCCTGTGAGTGCGGAAAATCAGTTAAACTATAAGGGGCCATTAAAAGGGCGCATTGCCAAGCACTTAAAAGACTTACAACGAGGAGAAACCCGTAAATCGGGAATAGCAGAGCATGTTTTGACTTATCAACATAGCATCAAGTAGTCACCACAAACAGAAATACTAGTTTAATGGGAAGTTCATAGAAGCTGCATGTATGTTGTTCAACCACGCAATTAGCCAAGCTAGCGTGAAGCGGAAAGAGAGAAGAGGGGATAGGTGAAAGCGCTCGAATGATCTATAGATAGTCATCCCCCGGAGAAATAGTCTAGTCATCACCCGAAGACAATTGCAGATGATGACAATCGAAATGTCGTGAAATATCTTGGTTCAAAATATTTTTTAGATTTTTAATTATTTTCTTGAATTTTTTGCCAATTATTTTTGCACTATGTGGCATTTTAAGTTTGTATTCTGATTATTTAATTCGTTTTATTGTATTTTGATTTCACGTTATTTTGCTTGATATAATTAATATTTCAGCTCTTCATTTTATTTTAATTTGATCTTCCATAGATGTCGAATCATATTAGAACCATTTCAGACAACGGAAGACCGAACTAGTGTTATAGTAACTATCCAATCTCCATCCTCAGGCTATAATAGGCCTAGTGAAGTTCTTCGCGACCATCGGAGTAAGAATGTATTCTCCCTGAAGTTTTCAGCTCCACGTGAGACAAATATGGTTCGAATAGAGGAGGGCGAACGGATGAAGTATCCAGATTTTCCCTTCGAATTCCACATACCCTATCCTGATCACCCTGTTGGGACGGTGGTTCTGATAATTGAAGTCCCTCGCAAAGGAGGGTGCTGCAAGCAGCTTCATCGGACCAGAACCTGTCATTGGCATTGCTTTAGGCTTTGCCAAATAAAGATTGAACACCTAGATGACAAGAAGATTTATGGACTCCTGCCAGAATATTTCAGAATTGGCTCACACCAAGGCGTTCATCTACCCTTCGAAGCCCAACAGTTGTTTGACTACAGTAGGGACGGACTACGATGTCTAACAGGCCTTCTTACAGGTCACTGTCATTTGAATCGTCATATGCAGAGACTCGGACTGTTGGAAGACAGTGTGTGTCGTCACTGTTTGGAAAATGATGAAACAGCAGAGCACATACTTTGTGCCTGCCCCACTGGGAACCGAATCAGGTTTTTAGTGTTCGGCAGAGCCGTACTCTTACCATTCGACCTGAAAGACCACTGATCATACTAGTTAATTGGCTCCGTTAAGGAGCTGGGTTTATTTGGTCGACTGTGAATAGGCGTGGCCCACGATAAACCCTTGCGGGTTGCGATGGAGGGTCGAATATACCCACCCACTTTGGACCTAACCTAACATAACCAAACCTTGGTGACTTGTGGCTTGCCGCACTGAAATATTTGCCAGAGGGATGCAGAAGATTGCCATTCTTGGCTCATTGTGTCTGTGTAGAGCACATGTAGAAAATGTAAAATAAATAAAATTTTCGGTATTGAGTATTACAAATTATTTTTATCATTCCTGTAAAGGATTTCATATAATTTTTATTTTTCAGAAAGTCTACAGCAACCGAGTAAAGCAGTTTCACTACGTAAATTGCCCATCATTTGCATACAGTATACTGACATTTCTCAAATCACTCATGAAGCCAAAATTAGCTTCGCGGGTAAGTACGAATATACTATTTGAAAAATAGTTATTCATAGCCACGGTGTGTTATTGCGGCTGACTCAAGTTAAATCATTCCTAAGAAACATGGCGATTCAAAAACGATTCGTTCCATCACATCATCAATTCTAACCTATAAAGGATCTGTTTGGAGTCTGGCATAAAAAATTACAAACATATATGGTGAGCCGTTTTGTAGATCAGGCAGGTTAGTTCACCATGTAAATAACTTCGGACAAACAACAACGTTCCAAGAGACAGTGAAGAAGACAAATGAGCGATATAATTTTGGAGTGTGATTGAATTCAATATGTATTTTTTATAGATGAGTGTATCACTCATCTATAAAAAATCTATAGATAGACGCAACACTGATGTCAGTATTAATAATAATAATGAGATTCATTTGCCAACACAGTAACCAATGTCAATATCACAAATAAATGAAGAGTTACACATGATGCATTGCTTTGTATAATAGTTGAGAGGAAATAGAAAAAAAAAGGGAAAGGATTACAAAAAAAAAGAATGAAAGTTATCACTTTATATATATCAATGATAAATACTAACACTCTTCAGTCAATATCAATGCATATCAGTCGTTAACTCATGTGATCATAACTAACGATGTGTATGTACCAATTTTGGAACGGTTTCAAAAAAATCTCATATCTGAACATAAACCGGCTTCTATCATTCAGCAGTACTCCACAATTATGATATGTTTGATGATCATTCGATGAGTCATAGTTAAGCTCAATAATAAGATGTAGTTGTAGATAAAAAACCGTGAATAAAGAGAAACCGTGAAGGAAGAAAGGAAAGAAAGGATGAAGAAGGTCTACGAACTGGAGTAATTGAAAAACCATATCAATATTTTCTTTTAGGTATATTTCCATGCAGACTCTTCCAAAATTGGAGAAATCCTACCACTTGACTTATTACCCAAGGATTTTGGTGGTTCGGAAATATCACTTTATGAAATGAATGGTATGTGTTGAAGGGAATTTAAATAGTATATACATATAAACATATCATTTTCTTGAAAATATATCTTTTCGTCTTTGGGAGAAGAAGGTTTCTGCTTTTCAATTCTCCATATACAAAAAAGTGGGAAAGTTTCAAAAGTTGAAAGAAAGTAATTAATTTCAAAATGGAATCTCCACAAAAATGTCTTGATTATGCATAGAACTGACTTTTATATACAATGTGGAAAAATAACCCTTGTGAAACAACTACCTTCATATGAAGATTGTATTAGTCATGTATTTGTCTTATTGCCTCATCACCACCAATCTGGATAACATCACAAATCATTCACAACATCACGACTTTATGTCACGGATGAGTTAAATCTAATCATGTTACTACGACAATCATACCCCTATTTGATTCAATCCCAGCCATAGGAATCTTGTTTGATTTGGTAAGTAGTATATTTTCAGGACAGACAATTTTTTAAGACGGAAAGCTTTTGGCTTTGTACTTCTCCAACTTCATCTAAAACGTGGGAAACGTGGGAAAGGACGGAAATAATTGATTAGAAAGTAGATTCTTCACAACTATGTGTATGTATGAATTTCACTAGTTTGGACTTCCATTGCCTACTATATGAAATTATTTGAAATCCCTGAAACAACTAAAAAAGAAGAATTGAAGATGAATAACTGAAAATAACAATTATATTAAGCGAAATATACCTGAAATGAAATAATTGAGAAATAAAATACAAGTAAACTAGTGAAATTCATCATAAAACATTGTCAATCACCTTCAAACATATGTGTAAGTAATTGTCACATACAAACTGAATGAAAAAGTTTTTCTGGAACAACTTCCTTCATATGAACATTAAATTACAGGTAAAAGAAAGTACTTTGTAAATAACTGGAATATTATGAACGAATTAGGTTCTTCATGTTGGAATGTTATTCAGATTGGTGCTACGAAGGCAATAACACGAATTCTTCATTCCGAAACTTCGAAGTCCGCTATTAAGTGATAGTGGTCCATGTATATTGTGTATTCCCATGGATGCCAAAATGCCTCAATGAATATTTGGAATATAAACCGAATGAGAAAAAGTTATTTTTGTTCAACTCAATTCTTATGTGAGAGTAGTTGTTTCAAAAGTATTTTTCTTTCGTATGTTCCAATGTTCACATGAAATTATTTGTTGTGGTAGGGTTCTTTCTATCAATCTGTATCTGCAGGTCACTTTTATGCATGATCTAACATATCTTTGTGAATGGTTCACTTTGAAGTTCCTTCCTTTGTAAGTTTTCTACATTATCTGTATGGACATGGAGAAATTGAAAGCCAAAACCTATCTTTCCCAAAAACTCCCTTTGAAAATATAACTTTTTTCAATGTATTTATTTTAATCATAGGAAAATTGAATTTTGTATGTTTTCAATTCAAATAGCTCAGAAATATAAATTCCATTCAATTTTCAAACTCAGTTATTCACATCATGTATTCCTTTTTTTCAGAATTATGGAAAAAGAAGTTGGCGAAAAACGGAGATCGATTTGATGCTCTATGCAAAATGAAAATCAACGAAAAGTTAAGACCATCACCTTTGGTCAACGATGAAATTCTTGGGTTTCATGGAAACTTTAGGAAACTGGAAATGGATTGATTGTTGTAATCATTTCGTGATTCACTGTTTGTTAATCCCTTTTTAATTTAATATCACAGCTAAAACACTCATATTGCATAGAAACAAAAGTGTGTCAATAAACTGCAGAATAGTATGAAACCCTCCAGTATTTTTTCACGCCATATCAAAAAAAAATAGTAAAATTCCACAGCTTTCAACAGTATAACTTTCCCTGATTATATTTAAGTTTCAATGTTATGTACCTATATGGTGGAATGACAGAAATATAATATATATTAAATATGAAGTCACTAAAACTCATTCGACAATATCATATAATTCTCCAGTCTAGCAAAAAAAAGCGATTTATTTCCAACAGGAGTACCCAGTTACAGGAAATGCTATTATTACAGAGTATATATGTACATATGGAATAAATATTACAAATAATGGAATATTGAAATGTATAAAAGTAAAGGCTAAAACAAAGTATATATAAAATATTCGTATCAGTAGAATTTCAAAGAGAAATGAAAAATTCAGTATAAAACACAAAAAGTTGCAAATCATGCAATGTTACAGTACTGACACAAAAGTTATTTATAGTATTATTACAAGTAATTATGGATACAAGATATCAAGGCGTTCAGAGAGTCGAAATGAATATCGCAGTGTTCACAGATTTTATTGATTTTTACTTCACGTAAAATTCAATGGTGATCGTAGCATAATATTTGTGCAAGATGATTCACTATAGAATTTCAGATTGTGTTTACCTTCACTTCTTGGTACTAAGAAATCAATCTCGAGTAAAGGAACCCTACTCTCAATATTGTTGTTGAGTAATCGATACAGAAATTTCATAACAAGGATAACCACTCCTATTTTCCAAAGATGTCATATAAAATCGTGTCAACAATATGTTATGATCGATGCTTCTCGTGGGGTATTGACCATCAACTTTTAGACATAAATATTTCAGGAACTTCCTTTGCACGCTCTCAATTGATGTTTTTTGGTAGTCGTAAACCGGATTCCATAACAAAGAGCCACCCAACCAGCAAAGTTGTTTTATAATTCCATGGTGTTGCAACAGTTTCATTTTATTATTATTTTATGATTACTTCCAAAATGCTAATTGATTATATTAGATGATCGGTGAACACAATATAGTTGTAGGCAATAAAAGTGTTTTATAAATTTGTCATAGAAACGTTTATAAAATAAAATTAAAAAACCATTATAAAATAGTCAGGAAATTATCACAGAAACGTTTTTACAACTAACTTATAAAACTTATTTTCCTATAAAAGTAAATTGTTATGTAGCAGTTTTATAACACTTTTCTGCGAGATTTTTATGATAGTTATAAAACTATTTCAAGCTTATTTTATAACTGTTTCCTGTAGCTTTAATGAAATTATTTTATTAGAATGCTTTCAGATACTATTTTATTTTCATTACCATATTGTCACTTCAAAGATAATCTCTATTTTATAATATGGTATATTCACTACAATTCCAAAACACTAATATAACTGTTATAAAATCAAATTGCTTTTGCTGATATATATTTGCTGCTACCAAGAATAAAATGCAGCATTTAAGAACAACCAGCTGACATCTATTCCTAATCAGAGTTTTGAAATATTCTTCAAAATTTTAGTTATGTTTAGTGAGAATATTTTTGTTTATTTATTCAAGTGGGACACCATCGATATCGTGGTGGAAAACACCCGTCATTTCCTCTAAACGCACGACAAATTAAATATCAACAATATTTCATCGGCGTTCATATAGGTTATGTCTAATATTCACCATGCATTTAGCATTAGACAACGGATATTTATCATAAAAAAGTAATATATGATGAATATAAGTAATTTATATTATAAGAGTCACCAAAGTGTCGTTTATTAGCAAAAATGTTGCCAATGTTGTCACAATAGTTGTGTACCGACAGCAGAGCCACAGCGAAGCAGAAAGGCATACAACTATTGACAGGGCCGTATTCTTAGTATTCTGTGTAAGAAAACCATCAAAATAACGGGGTGCTTAGTTGTGTTTCAAAAAAATATTTCGTGTAGAAATGAGTTGTTAAGGTTGGATGGGAGTTCAGTTTCAGCAGCTAAACCATACAAGGTGATTCACGGCATTTCATCCATTTGAGAGTATCTTGGTTTCCGATAATTTTGTGATTTGAGCGTATGCGTTCGCATTCGAATTCGATTGTATAGGTTCGCTACCCGCTTTCTATAATCAATCGGTGACAGTGTTCGTATCCATAGGTATTCGTTAAAAGGCCTTTGATTTTGAGATGTTGACTAATTGACGTATGATTGATTTTTGTGGCGGTTTCGAATACTCTATTTGTAACAAATATTTTTTTATAATTTTTTGTTTAGTTAAAGAAGGGATAGGGTTAGTTAGGTTTTTTACGTTATTTCAGGAAATCCATTCATTAAAATAATACGGTCGGAAATCTTGATAGTGGATCTAGAACGGTTTGGTATTGGGAGAAAACTCCAGTAATTTGAGGTAACACTCTAGCAAAATACTTCCTAACTTAGATCTGGTATACGTAAAATATAGCAATTTTAAGGTGGCAATACTTTTGGAGTTCTTGCCATTTCTGTAAATGAATCCAAGCATCCTATTTGCATCAGCAGTCATATTCCTTATATATGTTGTAAATGTTAATTTACTGTCGTATGTTATACCAAGATCTTTAATCTCATGTACGCGGTTGATTGTAAATTTGTTGATTGAATAATCGTACATTAAAATTCGCTTTTTTGTTGTAAATGAAATCATTTCACATTTGAATACGTTCAGTTGTAGACGATTATCATTACACCAAAGTTTGATTACATCTTATTCATGTTGTACACGTTGGCCGTCAGTAATGTCATCGATTTTATAATATTCGAAGAGGTTGCCAAGTCATTATTGAAAATTAAAAATAAAAGATGTCCAATATTAGAACCTTGTGGTACCCCAGGTGTAACTACGTACTGGTTCGATTTGAAAGATTCACATTCGACGAATTGTTTTCTGTTAACTAGATATGATTCAATTAGAGTAAGCAGTTGGTTAGAGGGTCCCAATTTTGTGTGAGAAGAACGTAATGGTCTTTTTGATAGAAGGCTTTTTGAAATTCTAAATAAACAACATCGACTTGTTTTTGCTTGTCCAGGTACGTACAAATATATTGATTCAAACATGCAAGATTAGTCATACATGATCTTTGTTGTACGAAACCATGCTGAGTGGGAAAAATAACTTTTTGAATATGGGGGTACATAACATTCTGCACACATATCTCGAAAAGTTTAGGAAAGTTACATACAATCGAAAAATTGCCCTGTAGGTTGTGATATCGCTAGAGTTGATTTTTCATTATCGGACAAATTCGAGCCGTTTTCCACTGCTCAGGGAAGGCACAAGTTGATAAAATCAAGATGAATATGCCTGTAAGAGGTATAGAGAGAACGTCAATACAGTCCTTTATCACAAGACTAGAAACATTGTCAACGCCTGCGGTGAGTTTATTTTTTAATTTTTTTGAAGTAGTAATAATATCCATTTTAGAGAAGGCAGGGATGTTTAATGTATCTAAATCAGAATCATGAGAATTTTCACGAAGCATATTCTCGTCCGAAACCAAGTATACACTTCTGAAGTATTTGGCGAATCCATTGACAATATCCCCAGGCTTATCAAATACCTCATCATCAAGTTTCATTATACCCGGTATACGCGAATGACCTTTTTCACTGTGTATTAAAGACCAGAAAGTGGAGCTGTCAGATAAAATATTATTTTCAGCGAAGTTTGTCAATTGACTATATGCTGCTTTTATTTTAGCGAAACACATCAGGCCACAAACCAACCAGAACATTTTCCACCAAACATGTACGACGTCGATGAATCAGTCAAGCATCAACAAGTTCGACTTTCAACTGATTTTGTTATTCTCAAAGGAATGACGGACCTGTCATCCTCATATTTGTTTTTTTTTGCAAACTAAGCGAAAGCTCATTAATTTTTTTACGACTGATTTATGTCAGGCCTGAATTATTTTCTGTTGATTTTCGTGAAGCCTTTGACAAGGTAAATTATCTCTATTACAGAAATTAAATGAAAATGGATTTCAACGTAGCGTGACGATGAATGTGTAATGCAAAACTCCTTTTCCAGTTGGGAAAATCTACTTACTTTCACATTCAGGGTTCCCCCTATACAATATTCAAAACAGGAGAGAAAAATGTCTTTAACAACATTGATTAAGAGGAACATCAAAACGATGAATAACGAATAATCTGCTTTTCTCCCAGCGATTGCCCAACGATTCGAAAGAAATATCTCAAAAACTATTTCAAATGAGGTTGAGGAGGTCATTTAGATTCTTAGTTCTAACGATACTCTCGCTTATTATGAAAATGATATTTTATAGAAGCTCTTTCTTGAACATCATCAAGCTGAATCAATATCAAATGCATCTGAACCTTCATTTGATCAAACAAGCAATTCAACGTTTTAGGTTGCTGAACAACTTATACTGATAATAGTAAAAGTGTTCCTCACTGGATCAGCAGGAGGAATAGATGCCTTTCGCCCAAGTCACATACAAGGCCTTCTCAGTTATAGTGTCGGTAATTTTAGAGATAAACTGCTTACTTCTGTGCCAGTTGGGAGAGTTGATCCAACGATTTGTCCAATAAGATGCATCTCTCTGTGCTCTTATAAAGAAACACGGAGGAATACGTCCCATTGCCATCGGTACTTTCTTTTGCCCCGATCAAAGAAGACCTTTGATCCATTTTACGTCCCATTCAAATTGGTTTCGGTAATCCTGGAAGATATGAAGCGGTCGGCCATGCAGCATGCCGATATATTCATCAACATCCAAATTCGTTATCAAAAATGTTCCTGAAGTTACATTTTAAAAACGTATTGAACATGATTGAAAGACATTTGATGTTACAACGGTCACTAAAGTGTTTGCCAGACCTACTTCCTCTTATATATCAATGCTACAAATTTCCAAGTTTTTAGAATTTTGGTTAACATTTGATTGAATCTCAGAGAGGTATTCAACAAGGCGATTTTTCAGGATCAGTTTATTTTCTGCCTAAACATTCAAGAGCCAACTAGAA